AGAAACTTTGCATTTATTAGGAAATCAATTTGTAGACATTGCAAATCTAAAGGCGCGATGGTTGGCTTTTAATAACAATTTTTCTGAATTAGAAAAAATATCTCTAAACTCCTCCAATAAAAAAAAACCTGTTAACAGCAAGAAGTGTGTGCTAGTATCAGGTGTTTAATTACTAAATATGATTGTAACGTTGATTGGGTGCAGTGTGTTACGTGCCGAAAATGGTTTCATCAGTATTGTGAAATTATTGGTGATTCAGAAAAGAGTGTATTGTGTGACATAGAGATGTACGAGTGTTTAGCGTGTCAGGGTGAAGATATAGAAAGTCTTGATCTTTATATTTCTGAAAAAATTTCTTTTATACACGCACGACGCGAAGTTTTAGACATTGAATATATTAAATTGCAGATGGAGTGTGAAGACCTAGAAAAAATATCCAAAAGTAGCATGGGGACTCATGAGAGGTCTCTTAAAAAGACCCTTGAAGATATGAAGGTTGAGCGACAAGCGTACCATGGTAATGTGTTTGTGGGTAATCATTGCAAAATAGTCTTAAGAAACCACTATAAACTTTGTAGTGTTATTGATGATGAAGCTATTAAAAATAGATTTGTACGTGTGTTTAGTGTTTTTAATAAGTTGCAACCTATTCTTTTTAAGCGAAAATTTCTTTCTGATGCCGAAATTACTGAGCTTCATCAATATATAAATTTATTTGCTATTGAGTTTCATGCTTGCTTTCACACAAAAAATGCATGAACTCATTTTTAATGTGCCACTATTTGCAAAATTACATAAATCTATTGGGTTGCTGAGTGAAGAGGAGGGAGAGTGTTTGCATAATAGTATAAATAAGGAATTAAGACAGTTGCATTCAGTAAGAAATCAGGAACAGAAGCTGTGTCTTGTTTTAAAACGCTTTGAATTGCACAGCTAAGCTGATAGGAAGCTTCAAGCCTCTAAGGTGAGAAAGTGTGTTTGTTGTTCTAAGCGTGGTAAAAATTTGTTTTATAGACGAGGCCTTTGTCTTGTTTGTGGTCATAAAATTTAGTCTAAATAATTAAAAAATAAAGTATTTAAAATATTTATTATTTTTTATTATTAATTTTATATAATAGATAGGAGCCCATTTCATTCTTATCTTCACAAGTTAATTATACTTATGCAATACCACCCAGGTTAAAGAATGGTACATAAGCCTTGCATCAAATGGGTGTAAAAATTTATCTTACTACTTTAACTTATGAGCAGAGCAACTGGTAAGTTTGTTGGCTATGATATAAAATATTAGTTTGTGTAGTTAATTTTAAAAATGTATTGTCTTTTATTATATGTAACATTTAATTTAAATATTAGATGTCCATTCAATTATTATCATCAGTTAGTTCTACCTCTGCAGTATCTCTCCTCAACATACCTTCTCTCTGGTTAAAGAATAAAATTTAAGTCTCATAAATAACAAGTTAGTGTAAAGATACAGTTTAAATAAAGAATTTGTAAAAGTTATTGTGACTATTGTAAGTCTTTTGAAAGCCATCTTCTTATCTTGTTGAACAAAAACTATCTTCTAAAAACTAATCTTCTGGTTTAGAATGGAGCATGAATCTAATATCAACTGGGTGTTCAACGATCGTTTTCTACTTAAAGAACAGAATCAGTAGATTAACTTATTATAAAACAGTTTTATATGAGAATAAAAACACATCAAACAAATAAAATTAGCTATTTGTATATTTAAACAAATGTTTTTTTTTTTGTGAGAAGAGATTGACTCAAGTGCCATAAAATAATTCTATTACCAAAAGCAAGGTTAATTCAAAAACTTTAACACAGTTGTGGTCATAAATTATTTTATTAGTCTTAGTGAGTCTTAATTTTTTAACAACTTAACACCATATTATCAAAACTCTATGCATACAAAGAAAGAAATTGCTAAAGTTTTTTAAAGGCTTTAGCTTAGAATGTTAAGAAATTAATATTTCAAAATCGACATCTGGCTTTATTTTGTAATGCATTGAATTTATCAACTTAGCGAATTTTTTTCATATTTAAAAACCTACTCATTTAACAGATAATCCCTCTTTAAACAACATTTTTAATAATTTTGCAAAAAATGTGGTTTGCTTGCAAACTTCAATTGTAACTGTTTTTGTTAACCTTAAGCAATTAAGTAAGGTTTTTTTATTTTAATAATAGTCAAACAACGAGTGTTATTGATAATAACCATCAGAAATATATTTTTCTGATTTTTTTTTTTTATAAAAAGTAACAAGAAATTACTAAAATTTAGACATAATTAAAATTTAGTTTTTTATAAACTAAAAGAAGTTTTTTTACTATTGTATTAAATATCGTATGATAAAACATATATATATATATA